GCTTAGTTATGACACTGTATAGGTTTTCGGTTTTCGCCATTTTGTGGGCGTGGCAGTGGGCCGATTTTGCCCATCTTCGAAATTAAACTTCTTATGGAGCCGACAAATACGTGTACCAAATTTCATCATGATATCTCATCATCATGATATATAACCCTATATCTGACTCTTTTAGTTTTAGGACTTACAAACAACCGTTATGTGAACAAAACTATAATACTCTCCTTAGCAACTTTGTTGCGAGAGTATAAAAAAGGAGGTAAAGAAACTAAAATCTTCCAAACACCCAGCCCTTAAATCACTTAAAACCCTTAAAATCAGTTACTATAATTTTTATTTCAWCTTCTCAGATATCTAAAAATTCATTCAATTAGTCTCCGAAGATTTTATTTCAAATATTTTCGTTTATGTTTTTTTTTTTTGTATTTAATATAATGAAAATAAATAAATCAATTTAATCCTTACAAATGTCAGATGAGTACTTCTTGATGGTTCCTATGTCCAAATCGTATCATTCGCGGTGGGAAGTATTTCTATCTCTAGATCCGTAACTAGAATATCCCTGCGAAGATTCATCTACAGATTCGCTATGAATAGAGTTGTTGACTACAGATCCCCTACCCATAGGATCTTTATTTTCAGATTCGCTGTACGTAGAAGTGATATCGGTATACTCTCCGTTRCTGGAATCTGCAATATCCATGCGTGATTCGGGCACGACATTCCAAACGTTATATGGAATACTATTTATATCCAGATAATTAAGCTGAATCTCAGCTAGTTCTTGCTGTTTATCGTGTATTTTTAAGTTATCAACGGTAAGTCTAAACATAGGGAACTGTAAAGTGTTACATAAATTTTCATGCYCAGGCCTCATGAAATCGAATTCAGCCGCTGATCTGAAGTTGGCACTAGGTTGGTACCGGTGTAGATAATCTCTTGCAGCTGCCGCCAGTCTTTCTGTCGCGGGCTTCGATGTCGGTGACGCATCATAACCGGTCACYAGCTTCTGAATATGTAAAAGTTTGTTGTATAAATATTGAGATTTATTTGTCTCCTCACTATTTTTKCGTTGATACTCACTCTCAATATGTTCCTTCAAGTGTTCGTAGACGGTGGAATCTTGTGGAACACGTTGCAGTCGATGCGTGAACAATAAGTAGTCGCGCTGAATTTTTTCGATACGCTGCTGGACCTGATAATACTCATCGTAAATCCGTTCGTATTCAGCGTTGTATTGGTGGCGCTCTTGAATAGTGGTTAAATCAAAGATCGGCACCGGAGCGGCTGCCCGCGAGAATTTCCTGGTCATCCTTCTKCTGCCAAATCGRCTACGTGCTTYTGYCAGCTTTAARCGWTTTATTGKAGATCTCTTTGTGGTCACGTGATGGATGGGAGCACATATCTCTCCTGCTATTAAACTCGCTACGTCGTCGTCTGAAGTCTGTGGTGGTGTAAGCATTTCTGGGAGATTGTGGGTTTTAATGTTTCTAAGGGCCAACAAATTAACGAGCTGTTGGCGGTAATGTCGACTGAAATTATCGACATTTCGCGGTTTCCTCGATTTTCTGACGACAGAACTACATTTCCTCGTTGACTTCCTGCACATTTTCGTAGCGCGCATAATTTTAGTTAGGGAGATCATGTTTGATGCGTTGATTAGGTGTTTTAGGTGTTAGGAAGTCTTGCTGCTACAAACTACGTTGCCACATTGATTTTTTCTTCGAGTTGTAAAGTCCTTTATAGTTATAGACTCAGGCGTTATTTGATWTCCTTACCGGCCCTTAACATATAGGGAAAAATCCGTGAGCACAGGTAGTCGAATGGAGTGCAATTTTATGCGTATTTGCCTTCTACCTGCTATGCACAGGTAGTCAAACGATAACCGGGAACCTGTTGGAGAGTAGCCAGTCGAGAAAACTATGCAAGAGCTTAAAGAAATTGTTTGCCGATTCCGTCATTAGTGAATGAATTCTTTATTCAGCGCTAAAGCTAAACTGTTTTGGGAACCCTTATTTATGTGATGAAATGTTTTCTACGATATATTTCGAACGATTTTAAGTCTTAATTTTTCGAAATAACATGTCAAAAAACAAAATTTTGTATTTGTCAAAATTTTGTAATTTCAGCCATTCACAATAGTAAGTCTGGTGTAAATTATGTATATTGGCTYTTTGTTCGAAGCTCATTTTCGCACCGATAACACAMACATACAGAYACTTAAAACGCCATAACTTCRCTTCCAATTGCTGAAATATCATGAARTTCTCATTGGATAATCGATAAAGATAGCAGATTCTAATGCACTAGAGAACAGACTGGGGAACGTAGMAACTACAATCTTTAAACGCATTTTTCTCAGAATGGTGTTTTCCACAACGATTTCCACTCTCAACTCGCTTGTTTTTCTAGCTCCAATTTGAAGAGAATATTATAGAAATTTAACGTCTATCGCTTTTCCGCTTTGGAAGCTTTTAGTTTTTTCTTTTTTTAATCTTCCCACTTTTTCTTAAAAAAAAAAACAAAGTTTCTACAGCGCGATTGCGAGTTTCTTTAAGATTTATAATCTTTTTAAAATTTTTGTTGTGGATCAAAATTGCGGCCGCAATCGTGGACATCATACAAGAACTTTTTTAAGTGTCATTGCAACAATTTATTTAACTATCATGCACTTAATAAATAAACAAAGGAAAAAATCATTTTTTATTCGTAATGAATGTATTTATTTATATAAAAAATCGGACCGATTAGTTAATTTCAACATCAAGAAAAAAATAGCGAGAATCAGTGATTTTTCGGAGGGTGACACTGAGATGATCCCTCTTTTATAATAATGATTATTATTATTTTTTAATAATAATGATTATTATGAAACTTATTTATAGCAGTATAATTTCTGAAAGCTAAATTAAAGTAGTTTTTCATAAAGGTTAAGTTTRTGAAGCGAACTGTGCGGACATCAACAGTTTTTATCAGCATCAAAGCGGACTCTGTTCTCTGCAAACAAAATAAATTTACTTTTTAAAATAAATGTATCTTTTGTTATTTATACACTAACGAATTAAGTACAAACAAATTTTTCTATAGATCCTTTGCTTTCAGGAAACACCTAGCTCAGGATAAAAAGAGTGTAGAAACTTTTGTTGAGAAAATATTTTTCCATAACCTTCATACAAAGGAAAACAGAAAAACACAGTAATTAAGAACACCTTGCTTTCTAGGCCACACCAAACAATGGCAGGTAATTTCTTTATTTAAGGATTTTCGCATGATAATATCGCAGGATCGTCTACATAATTGACTCATGCGCACATAACTTCGACTTCGGCTCCCGAAGTGCAGTCTTCGTGGAAAGAGGTTTTTTGTAGTATTGCAAAACGCTTAAAAATCTCAGAATAGTAATTGCAGCAATTTTTATTATAATTTTTTTTTTTTTTTTGTTGTTTGGAAGGCTGACAAAAAACACTTACAGTTAAAGTTTTCATTCTAGAATGTCGGGTTTTCCAATATGAATGATAGGACTTCTAATCGTCGTTTACGACATTTTTAATATGCAAGTAATTTTTTTTATTGCATTTTAAYATGAAAAGATATACTCGTTCAATTTTATTATCACATAATCGCTCTTCTTTGTCTCCAAATTTTGTTGCTCTTTTGCCATTTTATGGGCTTAAAAATCATACACCTGTGTTCGCTATTTGTTGAAAATTTCGAGTGTTCATTTACTTCACATAATTTTCAAGTGCCAATAAGCTAAAGAACCGCTAGAAGTATGGAAACTATTACTACCGTTCAGGCAAGTCTTGCTGAAGACCCCAATTTGTCGATTCCAAGCCGACCTAAGCATTTGGATTGACTCAAACCACAACATGACAGATTTTTACAAAAGATTTGAGCATGCGTTCATATAAAATTGTTCTCACTCAGGAGCTGAATCCATTGGACTACCGTAAACGTCGTGATTTTGCCTTCGAACAAGTTGAAAACGGTAAAGATTTTTTAGAAGATCATCTTCTTTGACGAGGCTCACTTTCTTCTGAGTGGTGCGGTAAATAAACAAAACTACCGATTCTGGTAAAGGAAATCATTACATTCACCTAAATTGACAATTTGGTGTGGTTTTTGGTCTGGTAGCATCATAGGTTCATACTTCTTTCGAAATGAAGCTGATGACACCGTACATAGTGTCAATGGAGAGCGGTATATATGGATCGATGACAACGAAGATTTTTCAGACTGGGACTTAGGAAGAAAGTGATCTTGACAACATCCGAGTGCAACTAGACCACCGTATTATTGTGAGAAACGTTTGGAAATTCGATTATTTCAAGAAATTGTGACATTGAGTGGCCACCAGGAAAGCTAGTAAATCGAATTATTTCTTGTGAGGTGAAGTCATTGATTTTTAGCAATAAAAAAGATTCTCTTCAATCTTTCGAAGACAGTCCAGCTCGGTTGAGTGTGCTATTCATGACATATGACTTTCTTTAGTAGGAAAAACTCAAAAATTAGTTCATCGAATTCGGTCCTGCAAAAGAAGCCATTTGACTGATGTTATGTTCAGAATTTAATGGTATCGATTGTAATTCACAAGAAATAAAAAAACATTTGATTTTTTAAGGTTCTTTGATAGAATTGATTTGATACAACAATCCCTAAAGAAGTTTATCAATCATTACTGGTGTTGCTTCAACCAACACCAACCCCCTCTAAAGATGAATTTATGCAAAATTTAAGTGCATTGCAAAGCCTTCGAATTATCCTTGAAGTCGATTAGTTCTTACCCTGCTCGTGTCAGTTAGAAAGACAGCAAAGGAACAACCAGACGTTTATCAAACAAAAAAACACACTTTGATAAGGAAATGTTTTTGTTTAAATGAAACGTTTTAGAAAATATGGAAAACATTTTATGAAGTACTATATACATTTATTAGCATAACTATATTATATCTAAAAATATTTAAACATTATTTACATATACTATATATATTACTACAATCTCAGTCATCATCACTGTCGCTCTCCGACAGCGCCAAATCGGTGCCCAGAAAATCTATTTTGGTCAAATCGGAAACTCTTTCATAATTTGTGGGTGGGAACTGCATAGTAGGGGTTGATGTCTCATTGCCGTTTATGAGCGGTACCGCTATTTCAGCGTTCAGATGTTCTTGTCTCGACACATATTGCTTAGACATTGCCAGTGCTAGAGACAGTGCCTCTTTTGCACATTTTCTATCATAGACCGTTATAAGGTTTTTGATATGTGCTAGTTTGGCGTGTAAATAATCGCGACGCTGCTGGCGCTTACAACTCTCCTGGCTAGAGATGATATTATGGGCGGCCACTATACGCTTTGTAATGCTCTGGCGGTCAGAGCCGTTTCGTAACGCTGTAAGATATATTCCGCCAAGTTCGCCGAAACTGCGTTCCAACGCTCCCATCTGCTGAAAGAGTACCRTATATTCTTCATAGTCTTGATCAAATGCTGCCTTATACTGTTGACGCTGCTCACCACATGTGATCTCGGTATATTCACTGAAATCGTAGTTATCGAGTTGTGCGGCATTTGCGCACGGGAGCGCGTGTATTTCAGGCTGTTTGCAGTTCGTCTGCTGTTTATCCAAACATTTATTGTCGACTGTATGCTCTGTTTTCCTTTGCTTTCTCGTTTGTGGCTCATRGTTATTCTCAMATGGGCGCTTCAGTGTGTCACCTGYTCTTAGTGGATCGCTTTCTTCCAATTGTGGTGGACTGCAGCTGGAAACGGAGGTTACATCGTCCGAACTGTTTGGCGGTCGTGAATTCTGCTCTTTGAGCCACCTCAGTTGCTGCTGCTGTTCCTTAGTTACATAAGGCCAGTTTTCGTCCACTTCCTTCCACATCCGTGAACGCAAAGTGTATGTGTTTTGGCGTAGCTGTGCTATATCTTTAAGCACAGTACCCATAACTCGGCGCTCACAATCCCGTGATCCTTCTCGCTTTAAGATTGCATTTAATTCGATTCTTGTGTAGGCCTTAAATGCCAGCAAATGTATCAATCGTTCACGTATTTTACGTGACGTAATATGTGGTATTTTCACTGTAGCMGTTCCTTCTCGATTGCTGTGTGTWTTTGGCCTTTCATTTACAAATAACTCACTACCGCCGGCGCATGCRTAGTTGCTGATCTTGTGTGTTTTGGCTGCCATGTTCATTTTGCTACTGATTTTAGGTGTTGCTGCGACTCTTAACTCTTCTCTACTACTAAGCGTTGCAACATAACACCTGTTTTTATAGCAAAGTGTTGCAAGTGTTTCTTCTGTCTGTTCTGTAGCTGCTTTTCGTTTATATATGTAAAATCTTCCTATACTTTAAATATACAAAATTCAGCGGTATTGTAAAACTTGCTCAACATAATGCCTTTCACCTGACAATAAAAGGATTATATTAAAAAAGGACTGCTTTTGAAACCCACCTACCTTTGAAGCAATAACAACTAACGCGTTCTTTATACCTGCCCGAACTTTTAATCTATCACGTAATTCTTTTGATAAAAATATTATTTTCTTTATATATATTGCCTAATCCAAACCACTAAGAAAAAATAAGGCCGGTAAGTTATTGGCGGATTTCGAAAAATTTGCTTCAGGTAGCATCCTTGTTAATTTTAAATTACCTTACTAATTTCTCTATTTGTTAAAAAACCAAAGGGAGCTTAATTTTGTGTTATTTTATTATTTCTATTTCGAGGGATAAAAGCTCATATTTTACTTCGCTATTTTCTGACATTTCAAAAATAACAAAATTCTAGTTTTGGAAGAGCGGGGACAAATAATCCGCATTATTTTCCTAGTTGCTCAGAGAAATTTCCTTTAAAGCTTTATTAGGTTCAACATATGGCGCTTACTCTGTCATTTATATTCTATATTCTTATGTTTTAAGGGCTTATATGGGTTTACGAGTTTAAAAAAAAATTTTTTTTTTATCTAATTACATTTGAAAAAAACCTCTAAAATATTGTGTTAAATTTTCAAGTTCATCTGAGTAATAGTTTCGGAAATCCAGCCTAGAGAACTAGTGCGCCATCGTGTTTTTGAACGTGGTTAGCAAGATTCATCGAGAACCCTAAACCGTTTTTCATGAAGTTTTAAGCAGRTATTTCTGATACCATTCTTAAAGACTTAGATGAAGAATATTTTTGCGATTGCAGCTATTTGAAAAAAAATGTCGTAAAATTTTCATTTTTTTGTAAAAATGTCTGTCAAAAATCTAATTTTTAGTTTTTTCAGAATTTCTTTGTTAATACTTATGTTTGTAACAATAAAATATTTAATTTTTCTAATAAAATATTAAATTTTTGTTAGGAGAAACAAATTTCTAAAAAAGCTGTTTTTTACTTGGGGTAACCCATGTAAGCCCTTCAGCAATTAGAGATAATGGTTTCTGTGTTAAAAGTCCATGCTATGCAARCCTCAACTCTTTCAGAGCTTTTAGGAAATATCTAGGGTGGAGTAAGAAAAGTCTACGATTATTTTTACTAACTAGAAGCAATGAAGCSAAAAGTTCGCAACTCGCAAAGGTTAAAGATTGRGATTTTGGTAAGATTTTATATCCARCAGAAGTACCGCCGTCATTTTTTCATTTTAATACTATTATTTGATTTCCCAAAACTTTCGGAAATACGAAAATATAATCAGGCATGTGCTGCAAATCGTTTTCGCATGAAAGTGTCACACAAACACGTATTTGTCGTATTGTTTCGGTGGCAGTTAGGTATATGACGGCTAATGGAAATTTTTACCCGTTTTTAGTAATTTTTGGCACAATTTATAGTTCAATTTTGGACGTAAGTTAAAATACTTTCAGGGCACTGTTTGTACAAAGTTTAATTCTGATGTCTTTACTGATTTTTGATTTATATACTTGAAGGTAAAAGAGTAGATGTGGAATTTACAAGATTGTTCTACGCGAAGTAGGCGTGATTGTTATCAGAATTTATCAATTTTCACAGTCGTTAATAGAAATATTTTTCATATCCTCAGACATCAAATTTGATAGAAATCAGCAAATAGTTCCTGAGCTATAGGATGCCGCCTAAAAATGGGCTATGCCATGCCTTTTGACAATTTTTACAACTATTGCTATGAAGCYCAACATCATAGTTTTGAAATTTAAAGTATTTTTATTCTGTGTGTTATGGTGCGTTTAGTTGTTTTCAACATAACCGTTCTAAGGGGAGTGGGCGTGTTTATTTACTGATTTCAACCAATTTCACAGGCTTTAAAGAGATGCTAAGATGACTTCTCATCAGTAAGTTTGTTAACTAAAGATACAGTTTTGGAAGATACCTGAATTAAACTATATGGGTAGCGGAGCCACGCCCTCTTTTAATGCTATAATCTGCTGTACTAAACACGAACGCATCTCATCCTCCTGATCATTAATATATACATATATAATCATTATATATGATCATTAATATATATATAACTCGATATCTATCTCGACTAGTTTCAGGTGATACAAACAATAGTTAGGAGAACAAAGCTATTATACTCTGTAGCAACATGTTGAAAAATACACACATGCCTTCCTCATAATCTACATACAAAGGAACAACCAGAAAAACAAAACAATTAAGGGATTTTCATAATCCTACAACCGGTTCACAAAAAAGAAAAAATATTGCCAATATTGTAAGAAAACCTTCGTTTCTAGGCCACACAAAACATGGCAGGTAATTGCTTTGTTTCACCGTGCCGAACTTCGCTTTTCGTGTGAAATCGTGTTTTAWGGTGTTTGTGAATGCTTTGAAAAGCCGAACGTTAAATGTTGCTAATTTTTCTGGAACGTTTCTTTTTGTTAATTCCACAGATAAATAATAGTTTTTATTATAAAGCAAATTTTGATGGATGTTAGAATAATAATAAAATCCATCAGTAATTTAAAATGAGCTCAGCATGTTGTCTTTCAACTGACAAAAAAGGATTTTACTAAAAACACTTTTTCAAAARCATGTCTTCCGGGAACCAGTGGCAAATAACGTGTTGCCCGTACTGTTAATCTATTACTTAACATTTTTTCTGAAAATCTTGCACTATGTGATCCCGCCCACCAGAAAAAAATTGAGAAATTTTTTGTGAGTTTTCGAGATGAATRCCAGAAAAGAAGAGTAATTTTTTGTGGGTTTTCGCGATGAATGCGTACAAAAGTTGCCTTAACTCCAAATTTGGAAGGCTTTGTATTACTTTGCATGTTTTGAAGCTCTTTAATTTCTACTGAAGATATAATATATTTATTTGCTTGAAGTTTGTTTTTTATCTGCCCGAAAGCGTACAGAGGTTTTAAACGAGAAATCAGCCCAAATCACGCGTTGTACACTTTCATTAACATTTGTACGGCAGATTTAGATTATACTTTAGAAATTAGGGAACCGATGTCTTTATTTTCTTTTAGGTATATATTTATAATCCTGAAATTACTGAAAATTGCCGAGTCGCTGGTATAAAAATGATCCAGTAGTTGGAGTCAGAAAAATGTCGTTTTGAGATTAATTTGCTATCAAAAATATTGGGTGTAGCCAGTTTTCCTTCTAGAAACTGCTACAAATGGTTTGCAGAAACACACCTTTACTGTTTGTGTAGATGCGAGTATGTGAGAGTTTGTTATTTGCTTTAAAAATGATGCAAGGGATTAGGCAACACTTTTTGTGCTAGAAAGTCTTTTCGCCACGCCCTTCAAATGTAAGTCTTTAGAATTTTAAATTGTTTTCCACCATCAAGTACAAAGAAATATATTTATTAATTTTTGTTAGTTTGTTTTAGATTCTTCACTTTTAGGAAACACCTACCCATATCGTACAGCGCCCGTTCATTTTTCGAACATGTGAAACAATGCTAGGTAATTTATTTGTTAGAAGATTTTCCCCTTATAATATAGCAAGAATATTTACATAATTGACTTGTCGGATTTCCAACTTCGGACCCCGAAATTCATTTTTCGTGTTGAAGGCATTTTATAGCGTTGTAATGATTAAAACCCACAACAATAATGGTAGTTCATATTTTTGAAAGGCACTTTTATCACTCCCACTTCAAATAAGAATGAGTTAAGCTCAGAGTGGAAGTTGCTCATTTTAAGCCACCTSATCTCAAGCTAAATGATGGTGTTCTTGTACTTACGCTCGCAACTATCTTCTATGCATTTTTTTGGATTCAAGAGAAACTCTGGGTTTGCTGGATTTCGAAAAATTGCATTGAAATTGATTATTGCTTAGAAACTCAGTAGAGTCTTTGAACACTTAGTGGGATTGAAGCAGAGAAGTTAATAAAAAACTGTAAACATGTTGTAAAACAAAGCAATTCTACAAGAAATCATTGAAATATTTATCCACAATGGAACTGACGTATTAATGAAGAAATGCTTTTGTCTTGCCTATTTGCGAAGTTCTTTCTTCGGCCTTTATAAAAAAATGTCACTTGTTGTCTTTGTCGCACAGACAACAAGTGAATGAAAAAGTTTCACAAAAAAGTACAAAAAATGTATAGATACACTTCGTCAAATAAACTTCGTCTAAGCTCGGCTTAAAGGTAGGCAAAAGCAAGAAGTAAACACATTTTGCCGAACACCTATGCAGGAGCACATGTCCTTTGTGATARATACAGGTAGAGTTAAGCACAACAACAACATCTAACGCATATAAAAGGGAGTAAGGGCTGAGAAATATGATAGAAGCACAAAGTGACTCGGCAAAGCAAGACGTAATATTAAAGATTTCTTAGAACGAAACACCATCGTCATGACAGACTGTCCAGTAACATTTAGCGCCGGTGACTACGAGATGACTCAACATTATAACAAGGACGATTCGAAGGTGTATATTAGAGTAAAGTTGACYGATTCGGCTTACCGCGCCATCGAAGAATATCAACATTATTCGAACACAAATCACTTTACAAACGAGCAGAATCCCAAAATGAAAATGACCGGTAATACCGGTATAATCAGCATACCCACAATTGGCAATGAAGCGGGCGTCAATTTTGGTTTCTCATTGGATGCGGTTCAAGAATCGATGGAGGCCATACAACAGACCGTCGAAGGTCTCAACAGTCTCGGTCCCATTACTCACAGTATGCGCATTCATGCTAATGAAGATGTTTTCGCCGAAACACGCACCAAAATGGCTATGTCAGAAGAGTCGGAGCGCAGCAAAGGCACAAAAGTGATTAAACCCAATAAAAATGWGATCGGTCGCAAAGTGAAGAAACCAGTGTCGACTTTATCGAGCCAGCATGTGGCCCACCACCAGGATCGCAACAAGGCGTGCCCTGAACTGCCGGCACTTGGTGTTACGGAAATGAGYAAAGTTGTGCTTAATGTTAAAACTAACGAAACTGATTTCGTACGACCAGTGAGCAAACCAGTGAATGTGGATACAAGATTTGAACATAATAAAACTGGCAGCGCTTCATCGAAACRTAATGGTAAATCCTCTCATAAACACGATAGTAAGGGAAATACATTATCTTCATTACCGCTTCTAACGAGCCCCTCAAAACCATCATTCACGCTGACGAATGGAAGTCATCGTGAGCGCAATATTGCCAGTAATACATTAACTTCATTTCCTCTTCTCGCGACACCTTCACAACCATCTTCCCAGCAGACCAATGAAAATGTTATTTCAAGTAACAAAGAATCTGCCGGACTGACAGCACCTGATTTTGTTCGTTCGCTGACCAAGCCAAGGGATATAGATACGAGATCTGATCACAAAAGACATAGCCGTACTGCGTCGAAAGGTAATGGTAAATCCTCTCATCCGCGTGATAGCATAAATAATACGTTGCCTTCGTTGCCGCTTCTAACGACCTCCTCAAAGCCATCATCCACGCTGACGAACGGGAATCATCGGGAAAGCAATATTGCGAGTAACCACTTACCTTCGTTACCGCTTCTAACGACCTCCTCACAGCCATCTTCTAGCCTTCTAAATGGAACTTCAGTGGTTAAGAAAAATGACAAAGAGGTAAAATCCCAACACCCTACTAGTGCCAAGGCAAAATCTGCGCAACGGAAAGCCGTGGACAAAAAAAGCGGTAAAAAATCGACAGCTAAAGGCAAGCAACCCGATATAACACGTTGTAAAATAAAGGAACGTCTCATACAAATGTTGGCKGTTAAGCCGTATAAGAAGCTTGAGCTTTATACTCGTCTACAAAACGAGGGCTTACGTGATGCTGAACGCCAAGCYATTAGTATCATATTGCGTGAGATAGCGTTCTTACGCGACAACGCTTTCAATTTGCGACGTCACATATGGAATATTGTGAAGGAAGACTGGCCGTTTTATAATGARGAGGAACTGCAGCAGCTGAAAGAGAATAAACCTAAAGACTTGACGCCACCAATAAGTTCAGATGCAGCGAGCCCACCTTTACTGAGCTCGCCCAGTCCAACACAAGTGACCCCAAACAGTGACTTTAACTATGGCAACAGTTTGAAGCGCCCTGGTGAAGTCTACCAAAATCCCGTGCCATTCAAAAAACAACGCATAAGTCATGTAAAGACAARAGAACGTGTAGGTAAACACATGAGYCCAACTAGCGAAAATGCATTAGTATATAACAGAAACACAGAGGCTGTCGTAGCTAATAAAGTGTTCAACGGTACAGAAATCACCGCCAATCAAAACAATTGTGAGAATASCAGCGGCGCTTCTGATCAGCACCTACCAACCGAGAGTAAGTCAGCGAAATATTCGGCACCTCTTACCGGCAGACACCCAACCGAACGTGTGGCGGAAGACAGGAAGACCAGCGGAAAAAGCAAAAGCCGCAACTCTAAAAAATCTTCGGCTACTGAAGCCGTTGAGCAGCCGGCCGAGATTGTGAGYACGGATAAAAGAAGCAGCAGTAGCAAACGCAGGTCAAGTAAGCCAAAGGGTAGCACCAGGAGCGATGCCGTGGGTACTGACACACAAAACAAAGAGCACTCTGCAGCTGCTGTTGCCGTTAATCAGCCAGCTGACAATGTGAGTGGGCACAAGAAAAGTAGCAACAGYAGAAACAAGGCAGATAAGACCAAGAAATCGTCAACTTCTGTTTCTGAAAATCAATCGGTCATAAGCGCCGATAAGAGCAGCAATAAAAATAAGTCAAGTAATTCTACGAATAGCAAAGAGAGTAACACTTATAGTACTCAAACCGCAAAGCCACAAGAAGGTAGTCGGTCAARGCTCAGTAAAAATAGGGATACAACGCAAAAAAGCAAATGTAATAATAAAGTTGATCTACCAGCGAGCTCCAGAAAACAGACATCAAAACCACAGATGACTGTGCCACCATTCACGAATCACAAACTTGAAACTCCGAAGGAAGTAGAACAACAGAGTCCTCGAACCGCGAAGCCACTACAACAAATCACACTGCACGAGCCAGTAGCGCACGATTCCACCACCTTTGAAGCTCGCAAGCATAGAGAACAACAAAGTTCTCAACACATTTTGCCACAACAGCGGCTCCAACAGCAATGCACATCTCAAGTACCCGCAGCATGCCGGTCCGATACATTTAATGCTCACAACCATGTAGAACAAGCGAGTTTTCGACACGTGGAGCCGCAACAGGAAGTCCAACAGCAAATCAGATGTGAAGAACCTGTAGCACAGCCTTCCATTGTGTCCGACGCACACACTGCTGAGCCACAAAGCCRCTTTGACTTCAGCGCATATACTCCGATCACATGCGTTGAACAGCGACGCCTTTACAAAGCCGAATTCGAAAGTCACTTCGAGGAATACGACCAGCTGTCAAAGAGCGTCGAACAAGTGCGCCGTGACTTTCATATATTAGTACAACAATTAGAGCAACTGCCACCAGACAGTCCCATCTATCAACATATYCAACAACAGATTGAGATGGAATACGAGCGGCTAAATAGTGTGGAGCAGAAACAACGGAAGCTAAGGTTTGACTACCTGCAAGCCAAATTAGCRTACATAACGCAGCTTGTAAACGATTACGATCAGAAGTTGAAAGCTGAATCGGCTGCAATTGATGCGGCTGTGCTACAACACCAGCTACTTCAGCAGCAGCAACAAATGTTACCAATAACACCGATTGAGGAGCCGAAAGAGATATACGCGTACGCTATGAATAGCTGTACGCAAGTGCTGACTGCACCTGCTCACTCAAATAACGGACATATACCGGTCTCAATGAAGACTGATATTGAGAACGAAGTTGAAGTTGCTCCACAACCAACACCACAAGTATCGGCATACAATATACAACAGAACACCACGAATAGTGTGGCTTTTCGAGGCGCACAATTCATTCCACAACAACAACAGTACCAAGAAATGGGTCATCGAAGTTACCAAACGCATGGTGATAATGATTTATCAGATTCGGACGATTCGGACGATTCGTCCTCTAGTGAAGAAGAACTAGCRTCTTTTCAAGACTCACAATTCATTCCACAACAACAACAGCACCAAGAAAATGGTCATCGAAATTGCCTGAAGCATGGTGATAATGATTCATCAGATTCGGACGATTCGTCCGACTCTAGTGATAGCTCAAACTCAGAACTATCGTCTTTTCAACGCTCACAATGCATTACACAACAACCCCAGCATCAAGCAAGAAGATACCAAAATTTCCAGGAGAATGAGAATGAATTATCAGGTTCGGACGATTCGTCCGACTCTAGCTCGAGTGAATCAGAAGACTCTGACTCAGATAATGTTGCCGAGTGAAGCAACACATTGCCAATAGTTAGCTGTCAGATCGTCGAGCCATTCATCATCGAATATTATTAGCTGTTAAATTTAAGTAAAAGAATTTAAGTAAAAGTATTTAAGTAAAAGTATTTAAAAAATTGGATTTATAAAGAAAACCTTTGGGGATTATATCTTAAATGGCTGCAAATTCATACAATTTAAAATAGAACGGGAAGAATAATCTACTAAGAACTTGAAGCTTATGATTTTTTTTAGTCTCACTGGAAATTTGTTGATATTAGGAACCTGAAGATRGCGATTGTCATTAGTAGCATTAGGAGTTAGGTTGGGTAAAAATGTCGATTATAAATCTCCCTAAACGCTCGGAACGCCGGTCCCTTATGGTACCTACAAAACATAATCCTACACAAATCGTTGCAGCCATGTCTATWASTACGTCGAAGGTAAAACTGCGGAGRTGTTTCAATATCAGTCTTGAAAAGACTCAGGCAAAATATTGAATGTATGCTTGGTTGCTTGAGTCTTTTTTTGAGCGATTGMYAAATTGTGTAGAATCCGTGAACAAAATATTGAATGTCTCTATCTCRCGATAGGAAAARTTTMYAAGTCACACCAAAGGAAGATAGATMGCGCAGAAGTCTGCGACACACCGGTAGAACTTACAACATCTACACAAATATATCCAAAATGGTCACTGTAGTAGAGCCGGAAAAAAAAAAAATCTATTGCTCATTGCTAGATCTCAGTCGGTTCCCCAAGCTTATGAATTCCTGCCGTATCTTCCAGGCGGCATTATTTGCTATTGGCTAAGCGGGCGAGATAACTAACAAAGCAGGACATACAACATATGTAAATATATACGTCGATAGCCAGACAGTATTTAAGGCATTCACTCACTTCAAAGGAGGGAAACACTAGATGTAACGGATGCCAGAAAGCATCTGCATATAAACTAAGTTCAAGATCGCGAATGAGTTCCGGAAATGAAGCAGCTGATGAAATTGCCAAAAGTGCCATCTGTCTGTCTGTACCGAACAAGTACTTTGAAATGCGGAGTTCACTAGGAACGAAATACAACGAAATTTATGAAAGAGCTGACAGGAGGATTAGAGCGATATGGAATGCCTTCAATACATGCGKGATCGTCAAGATCATATGCAAGAGACCTTTAAGGAGACTATACAGCTTGTCGCTCACAAGGTCTCGAAAAAGACCGCCAGATGACTGTTGGCCTCTTGACAGGTCACAACCTATACATGAAGAAATTACAGAGAAGTACATGAGAGAGACGCTGGAAGACGTCATATGCCTTTGTCCAGGACTATCATAAACTTTTCTTACGTATTTAAGAGCTTCGGAGTTCAAGAGACTGGATGAAGTAACAATTTTGAGATCAAGTCACCCTTAARTTGCGCAGAAATAGTTGACTTCTGGATTCAACCGGATTTCTAAGGACCAGTATGCATGTATGGACGAAAACACTCCAGCTCTGAAAGTATTCGACGCAGTACCCGCC